AGGTCTCCTGGAGAAGGACATGGCAACCCGCTCTAGGACCCAACTCTGATGTCTAGACATCTCCTTGACTGACTCCCCCTCCACTGACTGGTTTCGAGTAAATCCACTCCAGGGGTGAACCGGTATGTTTCCTTGCTTTCCCTACAAGTGTCTCTGAGGAAAAAAATACCCGATTGCTTGCACCCCAGGCCTGCTTTCCCGAACCCGTCCATCGACCTCACAGACTCCTGAGAGGAGATACGATAGCTGTTTCACTGAACGGAGGATCTGTGCTCAGAAACTCTTTCCACGACATGGAGGCCCATACTAACTAACCTATTTGGTCCTTCCCTCGTTCCTTCCTTCTTTCCTTCTGGATTTTTGTTGTTGTTGTTGCTGTTGTTGTTGTTGTTCCCCCCTTTCTCCCCCTCCTTTTTTTTTTTTTTTTCCTTCGGCGGGGGGTGGGTGGGGGCTTCTCTCTCAGGTCCATGCACACGCACACGCGCCGTTTCTCACGTACACGCGTACATGCATGCATTCACACACACAGCCACCAGTTCAGCTTTTCATGGGTTTCAGGGAAGTGTCAGAGGAGGGAACTGCTGGGGTCCGGAGTAGGCCGCCGACCCCACCCCACCCCACCCCACCGCACATGAACCTCCATGCCCTGTGGAGTGTTTTGGACTCAAGTGACTTAAGAACCAAGAACCGGCCAGCGCCAGAGGAATGCTCCGCCCCTCCCTCCTTCTCTGTCTCTCTGAAGGCAGGCAGGAATGAAAACCTCCTTCCACGGAGGAAGATGTCAAGTGATGATGGCTGCTTCGACGCACGTCCGTGATCCTCACATGCATGAGTGGGGTTCCCTGGGTTACGAAAAGGAAGAGACTCTTTTGGCCTGATACAAGGCGAGTTTGTCCCTCAGCCTCCCGCCCCACCCCCCACCCCTAGCCCCCTTCCTCCGCGCGGTGCCCAAGGGGCCGTCTCAAGGTGGAGAAACGGAGAAATGGGGGTGGGGCGGATCACCATTCAATAGAGAGAAGCTCGAGGCAAAGTCAAAGGCTCTGACCTGACTGGAAAGCTTTCTGCATTTGAACGAAGCTATCTGACGAGGCCCTGCAGGGGGAGGGTGGGGGTGGGGCCCACAGACAATAGCCCCTGCCTGCCGGCCGGCCGGCCGGCCGGGCTGAGGAGGCCCTCTGGCGGCGGCGGCGGCGGGGCCACGCCCCCGACTCCTGCAACTCGGTCCCCTCAAGGAAACTTCTGGGGTGACTCCCTTGTCCAGGGAGTCATCAAAATTGGCCTGTTTCTGAAAAAGGCCCGAGTCACAGCTGTGACAGAGTCCCTGGATCTCTTCTTGACACATGGATTGACCTGCACCCTCCCATCCTGTCAGATCCTTTGGACAGGCTCGAAGAGGTCTTTGGCCTGGGCCGGAAAACAAGCCGAGATAAACAAATACGTTTTTTGTCTGTTTTTTTTTTTTTTTTTTTGAACAGGCTGAAAACGATGCAGGGCCGTGGATCAGAGAGAAACCTGCTCCTCTCACATGCGTGAAGACAGGAAGTTCTCAGCGGGAGAGAACCTGCCTTCACTTTTCACTTGTCAGGGGGACCTGGACCGGTCCCCTCGCCTCGCACGCCCCCAACCCCTAGCCCAGCTCTACACCGCCACCCCCACCCCCACCCCCGTCTCTCCAACGTCAGCCCCACCCCCACCCCCACCCCTTGGCCACCGAGGGGGGCCCAGGGAGGGGTGACCATGGCCTTCTCAGCCCCTGTTCTGAGATGTCACTTGGGAAACCGCTCTAGGCCGAGATGCCAGATTGCTGCCCTGCTGCTTCGTGTCCGTCTCCATCAGCCATGCCCAAAAGGCACGTGAAATAATGGACAGCAAATAGTGCACCCAGAAAACACAGAATGATCCTCCTGAACACCACACGGCCATTTTTATGGATCCACATAGAGGTCGTTGATATCCCCACTTGATGCATGAATAGTATTCACACAGACTCGATTTATTTTCACTTTGATTGGGGGTGCCCTATCCAGAGAGATCATGCGGGTCAAAAAGCAAACACAGAACAGAGCAGAACAGAACCAAAACCACAGCCAAATCGAGGGAGTGCTGAACCAGAGGAGCTCACACAGCCTACGAGGTGTCCCAGACTGTGAAGGAGAGTTTGTGCTCACGTATCTATGTGGAGGTCTGAAGGGTCACTTGCCAGCGATGCAGATGCCATGCGAGTGGCCGGAGATGTTTCTCCATAGGATCTCTTGGGATGTCGCACGCAGGCAGGGTGCCAGGTGCGGGGGCACCCTGGGAGGTCCGATCCCCCGATAAGTTGGCATGTGGGGCGCAGGCAAGCACACAACGTTTTCTTGCAGGGAGAGCCGAGCGAGGAGAATTCAGGGGTCCATACCTCCAAGCCCCAAGCTGCTGCTGCTGCTGCTTTTTTTTCTTTTTTTTTTTTTCCGCCCCAAGCTTCTTGAAAGGGTTCCACGTAGCATTCTGAAACGCCAGGCGATGGAGGGACAGGGTTCGTGGTTGCAAACGTCTGGCTGTAGGAATTCTTTGTCTTTGGCGACGGTTCACTACGTGGGTGAGGTCATGAGGTTCCTATACCCCTTCCACGGGCCAGATGTGACAGAACATTCTACTTGTTCCTGGCCTAGCAAACAAAAGTTGTTCACATGAAATGGACTAAACCACAATCCTGCGGATCTCTCCATTGCTCTACTGTACTCCCACGTTGCATGGGTGGTTGCCTTCACCTGCGAACACTGACGGGTTGATCCAAGCTCAGAAGACTGAGAAAAACAGCTTTCTCTCTATGCCCTCCTTTGTAGCCCAGCCCTGCTCAGCTCCTCCCAGGCTTCTGGAAGGTCCAGTTCCTCGAGCAAGGTTCACATTCCAGGGACTCCTGGGGTATCTCTGATTCTATGATAGACACTGACTATGCTGTCCTGCCAATAGGACACACAAAAAATCTATGTGAAAATAGTGAGTCTAATAGCACTCTTGGTAGTTTTTTTAAATGAAATCAATAAACACATTGTATGAAGTAAGTATCATTACAGATACATACAGATATGGATGCATATACCTGGCTGTATTATTCACATAAGCACTGCCTGCCATGCAAAACCCCAAATCTATATCATCTTTAAGTCCATGGGGATGTTTTGCTGACAGTTATACAGAAATCATCATTGTACCTAGACAGGTATAAAGATATGTATTTGTCAAGATAGGAGAAAAGAACACAAACTACTTAACAGAGGTGAACTAGTGTCATGATTTAAATGTGGGGCCATTGACATTAATTCATGATCCTGCCTAGGGACTGGATCAACTTTTGACCTTTTTAGGGTTGCTCAGTGGACCAAGTTCTTAGTTTACATAGTCCTCAATATAAATCCAAGCTCTAAGGATTGCTCTTTCTTGTTCACTGGGGGAGTGGGAAGGGTCCACACTCCTGTTCCCACTGCTCCCCTCCGTGAATTGGAGTGCGAATCTAGATGGGCCTCTGACCACACACATCGCTGGGTTACATCACGCCGGTTTGGCCGGCCTTCGGTTCTCACAAACTGGCACTCTTGCTGCTTCTCGAAGTGTCCTAGAGAAGAAGACATCGGATTCCACATTAGATCAGCTTCTTTGACTAGCGACGGCACAACAGCCACAACAAGTGGGATGGATAAACACAGAAGTTGGTTTCCTTCGGACTGTGGAGCGTGCGTGTGTGTGTGGGGCGCGGGGGGGGGGGGGGAGAGAGAGAGAGAGAGAGAGGGAGAGAGAGAGAGATGCCTTTGTGGTTCTAAGGCAAGCACTGAGGAGTTGAGACTTTCTTTAACGAACCTATTTTCCTTCATTGCAGTCGTGACGGTCCAATGGTTTGGACGACAACATTTCGTGTTTCAGGGTAGATGATTTCAGAAGGCTGTGAAGGGACTTCCCTGCCCGGTGGTCCAGTGGCTAAGAATCCACCTGCCGATGAGGCAGGGGACAGGGTGTTTTCGATCAATCCCCGATCAGGGAAGATGCCGCTGGGCTCCGGGCAGGTTCGATACAAGCGTATAGAACGGACAATGCCAGGCAGGCGTGAAGGCGAGGGCAGACGGGGGGGGGGGGGGGGGGGGGACTCTGGACGAGGATGACTGACACTGACGTCTCGGTGTAGGTGGGTTGTGGCCGGCACACTCCTCTGGGGCAGGATGTTCCTAAGACCGTTGCGGGAGGAGCAGGGGACCTAAGGGAACTCTCTGTGCTCTCTGCTCCATTTTTGCCCCCGGAACCCTAATCTGCTCAAAGAGAGGATTCAGCCTATGGAAAGACCAACTCACACGTGAGTGAACCTCCTTTCTGGTTCACTTGGATTCTGAAAGCGTGACGCTCAGATTCACGCAACTCCCTGGATGTCTGTTCTTCCTGAGATCCCGGCCTACTCACTGGAAGAGCACATGGAGTCGGATGAGATCTCCCTCTACATGGCGGCTCCAGTGTGCACACATTTCAATGGCTACGGCTTGTGGACATCGCACCGAGAGCCTAACCCCGGTGTTTCAGACGCCTGTTTCCACAATGGCCGAACAGTTCTAACTGCGGGAAGCCCAAAATTTGCCCCTGCCTGTTCGATCTGCAGGGACTCTGCAAAGGACACACGTGCCCGGTCTCATGACCGATCCCCCTTTTCCGGAGCCAGCCTGGCGTGTGATCTGTTTTCCAGGCCATAGGCACGCACTGGCACTGGGGAGTTGTGTTTCTCCTCCTCCCCCCCCCCCCCCTCCTCCTCTCTGCCCCCACCCTTCCCCCCCCCCCCCCCCCCCCAGTATGCATGCTCCCTCACCCTCAACCCCACGCCGCCTGGGCCCGGCCCGTCCAGGTCTCCCCCACCCGTGGAAAAGTCCAGGAAGAAATGGTCCCGGAACGACGCAGCTGACAAACAGCGGAAGTCCGCTTGGATGCGGTTAGGAAACACCTGAGCATACCTAGGCCAACACTGCCGCCGTGTGGGGTGAGAGGAGAAGCTCAAGAGTTCAGAGGAGGAGGAGGAGGAGGAAGAGGAAGAGGAGCAGGAGGGAGGGAGGGAGGGAGGCGGCGGTGGGGGGAGGGGAGGGACAGGCCGAAGCCGTCTCAGGGCGATGACGTGGGTGAAAACGTTCCCCTTCAGAAGGGCGCTCCGAAGAGGTAGTTCCGGCGGGACCTTGAGAGCACACAGGGCTTCGTTTTGGAGGCTGATCTTAAAGCTGGGAGTGGGGGTGGGGGAGGGAATCATCCAGACATCCGAAAGACACCGGGCCGGGAAGGCAAGACAGATTCTTTACAAAAGGGAATCGGATGCTTTTGTGCCAGTGTGTTCCATAATCAGACTATCATGGAAATCCATCCACCCATCCATCCACCCACCCACCATCGTTTCGCTCCTTTTCTGTCCTCTACATTTTTAACGGCGAGTGAGTGAGAGAGTCTTTCAATGGTTTGGTAGGATTTTTGAATGTCATGTCGTAGGACCATGGTACTTTTCAGCCATGGATGAACGTGATGGCTTCTTTTCTCAGCTTCAGCTTTCAGGGTTATCCTGAACTGCCTCGCCAAGTGAGGCCTGTGTGTGTCCCTGTGTGCTGGAGGAAGGACACTGTGCTATCCGCATCTTGATCTTGGGCTGAACAAAACCACCGTTGGGAATGTGTTCCTTGGCTTCGTTTCCTTCCCCTATGGCACTGACCTGACCGTCCTGTCCACTCTTTGGATCCTTTATCTCCCTCTTCCCCTCAAGGCACTTGGTCCTTTTCTTCCTCCTCCTCCTGCTCCTGCTCCTGCTCCTCCTCCTGCTCCTCACCCTAGTGTCTCGCCCCCAGCCCTCTCAGTCCCACTCTTCTCAAATTGACGTCTAACTGACTGACAAGGTTTTCTTTTGCCTTCTTGCCTGCCTGCCTGCCTGCCTGCCTGCCTGCCTGCCTGCCTCCCTCCCTCCCTCCCTCCCTCCCTCCCTCCCTTCCTTCCTTCCTTCTTTCCTTCTTTTGGTTTTGTTGCTGTTGCTGTTCCCCCATTAATTTCCAGGTGTACAGACGATGTTTCAGTGTAGCGCAGGAAGGACACAGCGATCACCAGGATACATCTCGTGAGTGACTGTCCGTCACCACTCGGTGTCACGGCAGATGGCATTTGGTGTCATGACGTGCCCGTGACTCATTGATTTCATCCGTGGAAGGCTGCACCGCTTCGTCTGTCTCCGTCACCAGTGGCACTCACTCATTCTCTCCCCCTCCCCACCCACCCCCGCCACCGTGTCACCCCCCTCCCTCCTCTGGCCACCACCCATGTGTTTCTTTGTGGTATCTATGAGCCTGCTTCTGATTTGTTCTGTTCTGTTCACGGTGTATCCTTTGGTAGATTCTGCATGGAAACGACTGATCTGAGGTGCTTCATTTAGCATAATAGCCTTTCTAAAGATCTCTCCAAGTTCCTGCAGACTGTGAGATTTCATTCCCTTCTGGTGGTTGAGTCCCATTTGTGTGTGTGTGTGGGTGGGTGGGTGGGTGGGTGGGTGGGCGTGGTGTGGGTGGGGGTGTGTTTGCATGCGCGTGCGCACACGCGCACCTGAATAGATACAGGTGTGGGCACACAGACGGAGAGTTCTATCATTCTGTTTGTACGGATGTCTACCTGGGTATAGGTGTCGATACCACACATACACACGCGCATATCTTCTTGGTCCCCTCCGTAGGCACTCCGTGGAGTTGCCAGGTTGGGTCGGATGGGGAATCTTTGGTGGAGTGTCCTGAGGGATCCCAGGACTCGTTTCCCTAGTGATGGGGTTTCTCTCTCTGTGAGGTGCCAGGGGATGAGCTCTGATATCTCTGAGTCCGCCAACACTTTTCTCAGCTGCAGGAAAGACGCATTCCCTCGATCAGGAGCCACTGTCTTCTGATGTTTCGAACTTGCTGTCGCGATTGCGAGTCCAGCTCCTGGGCCTTTCCCCTCCAAGTTATCATTGTCCAGATAAACGCCCCGGGGTGCTTCCCTGAGCCCGCCCCCACCCCCAGCAACCCCAGCCCAGCCCAGCCCAGCCCCGCCATTGATTTGTTTCCTACCTTGTGCTTCTTGAGTGTCTGTCTGTTCTACCTTTATTTTGAATGAAGCTGTCTGTTCGGGCCTCCTGCCGACCTCGCTCATCGGGGATTGTTTCTCTTTTGGAGGTTCAGTTGTCTGACGCCTTGATCAGTTTTGGACGGAAAATCCCCTTTGGCCATATGCTTGCGCTTTCCTGGTATGCGCGCACGCACACACGCACACACACACACACGGATGTGTGTTTCTGCCTGTGTACGTACGTGTAGGTCTGTGTGTGTGTATATGTACATATACACATATATATGTACATATCTACGCCTATATGTATATACACACGCGCGCGCGGAGACATCTACACAGACACATGCGTATGTATGCACATAGGTACACGTACACTGACCAATACGTACGTGTATGTATACATACGCGCGCACACACATGCACACGCGCGTATGCACATGCGCGTGTGTGTGCGCATCCATGCACATCAATCTGTGTATATGCACTGTATACACACACTTGCAACTGTACATACGTACATGCGTATATATACACATATACAGCCGTACGTCTGTGTGGACGTATATACGCTATATGTAGACGTCTAGGCGTGCGTACATATGTATGTATACGCGTGTACGTACACGTGTGCATATACACAGGCGGATATGTGTGCATATGTAAGCATGCACGTCCGTGTCCGCATATACGCGCACACACACCTGTGCGTATACACCACACGTACACACACGTGTGCATCTATATGCGTTTACACGCCCGTGTTTGTTTAAATGTAGGTATGTATATCTACGTATAGGCACATATGAGCATGTGCATTCATGCGCGTGCATATCCGTGTACGTGTGTGTATAGATAGATGCCTGTGCATGCGTATATACACGCAAGCAACCATGCACACTATAAACGCCTAGGCATATACGTGCACACACAGACACATGCGCGTACGTGAGCATGCATGCCCTTCGTACGGACTTGTTTAGACGCATGTGTGCACGTATATATAGATGCCAATATGTGTCCGTATACATACGTACATGCGTATATGCACATGTGCGCTCTCTCTCTCTCTCTCTCTTTCTCTGTCTCTGCCTCTGTCTCTCTCTGTCTCTCTCTCTCTCTCCCCCTCCCTCCCTCCCTCCCTCTGACTTTTAAGCTGCCAGAGCAGTTCTATGACTTGACTTTCCTGCCTGGTGGTTTTGTTTCATTTCGTTTAGGTGCTACTTCAGAAAGTTATGTCTTCATTGACTTGGCTGTTGTCATGGAATCCGGGGTTTATTTAGTGGATCCCTATTGACTCGGTCCTCCCCACCGCGCCCCTCCCTCAACCCCACCCCCCGCAGCCCTGCCACCCGAGACCGCCCGGCCGCCCGCCTTTCCGGTGTTTGTGGCCAGTGATCTTGAAATCCATGTTCTCCTGACCTCAAGTGCACTTTCCCCACCCACCCGCGCATGCTTGTGTTTGTTGTCTTTGGACTTGGTCACGGTCTCTACCCAGGTTGAGTTTTGTTTCCTCTTGTTGGGGGTCCGAGTGTCTCCTTCGTTTCCTTTCTTGCTCCTGGGCTTGCGTGTCTGTGTCTGTGTCTGTGTCTGCTTTCGAAAGTCCTGCTTTGTTCTCCGAGCAGCGCTTGCCTGGTTTCGCTTTGCCGGTCGGTCCCTCTCTCCCTCCCTCCCTCCCTCCCTCCCTCCCTCCTTCCTCCCCTCCCTCCCTCTTTTGGGGGGAGGGGGTCCGGGGGAGCCCGGGATGTCACTGCTGCCCCTCTCTCGGCCCCCGGGCCCCCGCCGCCAGCGTCTCCGTGGAACGTCCCCCCACCACCCTGGAATCGCGCGTGTGTGTGTGTGTGGGGGGGGGGGGGGAGCGCGTCTCCTTCGGGGCAGCCTCCTGAGGAGATAGTTCCCAGCTCCTCTCCCTTCCTCTGCGGCCGGGGTCGCGTCGCGTCGTGTGGCTCGGAGGCGGAGGAGGCTCCGGGCCGAGCTCGGGCGTTTGGGAGGCCGGCGCGGTGGCGTCCTCGGCGCCCGGCGACAGCGACCCGTCCTCGGGACGGTCGAGCCGTTTGTCAGGAGCCACCTGGCGGCCGCTTCTATATTGTCCCTCCCCCTCCGGAGCTTCGGCGAGGCCTTCAGGAGGATTGTGACTCAGCCACCGGGCCCGAGGCAGAGCTCTCAGAGACCGGCTACGCTGGCGGTGACAGTCCCGGGGACACCGAGGCCTGGGGACGTCCTGCTGTCTGCGGAGATTGGTTCTCTAGGCTTCTGAGGAGGGTGACTGTCGCGGCGCTCCAGATCGGGGCTCTGGGGCGGCCTGGCCGGGTCGACCAGCATCTCCCCGTGCCCCTCCGGCCGTGGAGACGGACCGGCCGGACCCTACCTGGGCCGGCCCGCCGCGGTGGGCAGGGAGAGGGTCTTCCCTGCCCGGAGCGCCTGGACTCGGACTCGGCGGTCCGGCCTCCTCCCGGGTCGCCCTCAGGAGCGTGTGCTTCGCCCTCGGCCCCGCTCCGGAGGTGGGGACCGGCCCGGACTGTGGCGTGGAGGTCGGCGGAGGGCGCGGCTGGGTCCGGGCCCTCGGGTTCTCTCTGACAGAGGTGTTTTCCGCGTCGCACTCCCCAGGTGGGGACCCGCCCGCCGGAGTCGTGAGGGCTGACCCGGAGAGGACGGCCGGCGCGGGCGCGTGTGCGGTCCCCCGGTGGGGTCCTGTCGCCTGAGGCGTCTCCCGGCACGCATGCCTTTTCTTTCTCAAAGTCCCGATAGGTCCGGAGACGTGGATGGACCGGGCCCTGCTCCCGCGGGTGGCCGGGGAGGGCGCGCTCGACCATACAGCGTGCCCTCGTGGGTCTCGGTCGTCGGACGCGACTTTTTCTCACCCCTCCCCAACCTCCCTGAATCCCGGTCAGTCAGGAGGTGGGTGGGGACCGGCTCGAGCCGTCCTGGGTGCCCCGTGTAGGACGGTCTGGGCCCCGGGCGTGGTCCCTGGTCGGGGCCGGCTCGTCTTGTTGGAGGCGCCTCGCTGACGTTGCTTTCTTCTTTTTTTCTTTATGCACATCGAAGCCAAGTCCCCGTTCGGAGACTCGGACGGACCGGTCCGCCTACGCGTGTGGGCGAAGCGGGGAGGGCGTCTCCGGCCAGCTCCCTCTCCCTTGGCGTCCGCGTCCCCACTTTTGCCACCACGCGGCCCCCTCCCTCCCCCCTCCCCCTCCCCCCCCCCCCAAGTCGACCAGATGGCCCCCGATAGCTCCAGGCCTGGTGTTCGTGGGGTAGTGCTGGGAACAGGTGGCCGGGTCAAGGTTCCGGGGTCCCTCCCTGCGAGTCGTAGATGGGCCCTGCTGTCGGCTGCTGTCATTGTGTCGCCCGAAATAGGTCTTTTTTGCCACCAGGTAAGTGCTGACACGGTCTGCTTTGGTGTCTGCCGCCGAGAACTTTGGGTCTCTGGATGCACGCGGGGCTCTGGGCCTTTGGGCCGCCAGCCGGCGCCTGATTTGGCCTCTGCCGCTGGAGCCGCCCGCCTGGGCCCTGTGCGCCGGCTCCCGTGTGGTGTGTCTGGCCGACCCGGCTCGTGGTGCCACCTCTGGTCCCAGGGCGGCCCGAGGGCGGTGGGGCGAGGCGGTGTGGGTCTTTGATTTGATTGATGACTCTGCGCTCCCCGCTGCGGGCAGCCGGTGGTGGCTGGGACGACCCCCGCCCTGTAGGCTCCGTGCCACGTGTCAGGCGTTCTCCTCCTGGGGTCGTCGGTCGCCCTCGCCTGAGGTGTGGGGTTGTTGGTGGCGGGGAGGGGGAAGGTTGCCGGAGGTTGCCGGTTGCCAGTGAGGCTTAAAGCGGGCCCTTCTGGTGGCTGTCCTCGCCTGTGCCCTCTCCCCACCCCCACCCCCCCACCTTGGCTCAACTGATTGATGTGGTGTGGTCGTGCTCTCCCGGGCCGGGCCTAAGCCGTGCCGGACGAGGGACGGGCGTTCCCAGTGAACGTGTCCGCTCTTCTCGGTCTGTCCGCGGTGCCCCTCGCCTGTCTTTCCCCCCTTGCCCCTTGGGGAGGGTGAGGAAGGCAGGGGGTGTTGGGGTGAGGCCTCCGGCCCTGACCTTCGGTCTCCCGTCCCCCGCCTTGGGGTGTCTGGTGGGGCCGTTGGTCTTCAGACACAGCAGATGCGCTTGCTTTCGCCTTCCTGGCGTGTTGCCCCGCGAGCGGCCCTCCCCGCGGTGGGGAGGGCTGTGCCGCTGCCACGCCACACGCCCCCGCACGGGTGTGTGAGCGTGCCTTGTTGGACCCTCGGTGGTGCCCCTGGAGTGCTCCAGGTCGTCCCTCAGGTGCCCGAGGCCGAGCGGTGGTGCCGTTTTCCCTTAACCCTGTGTCCTCCTCGGGTCCCCACCACGGTGGTGTGCGTGTGTCCCATGAGTGGCTCTCTCTGGGTGGGAGCGGGTCGAGGCGGTGAGAGAAGCGTTGTGTGCTCCCCTCGTCGCGGAGGCTGACGGATGAGGCCTTGCAGGGGGCGGGGCGCGGGCTCTGCCCGGGCCCTGGCCGCGCACGCGCTCCTGTGCGTGGTCATCTGCTTACCTGTACCGCAGACCCCTCCCGCCCAGTTGAGGACTGGCGGCTCCCGGTGTGCCTCTGTGGGGCCCGAAGGAGAGACGACCGGGTGAGGGACGGCGCGCCCTCGGTGAGAAAGCCTTCTCTAGCGATCTGAGAGGGAGCCTTGGGGTACCGGACCCCCCAGACGCTGCCCCTCCCGAGTGCGCAGTGGCCACCGTGGCGACTGCCAGAGCACGTGGGCAGAAAAGCCCCCCCCCCCTCCCCTCCGTGGGAAGGGGGGGGTGGTGATGGTTGCGCCGGCCCCGCGGTGGGGCCGCGTGCCGCTTGTTGCCTACTGCGGCCTGCGCCTCCCCCCTCCGAGTTGGGGGAGGGTCCCGCTGGGCCCCGCCGGGTGTCTGGCGAGTGGGGGGCGGCCGTGCGTGTGTGCTGTGTGCGCGCGGCCGGCCCCGCGGTGTGAGCCCAGGGGGAAAGGGGGTGGTCGGGGCGCGACGCCCGGTCGGCCCCGGCTCCCCCAGCCCCGCAGCTGTGGTGAGGAGGAGCCTGTCGCGCCCGCCCTCGCCCCCGAGCCACAGCCGGTGGTGGTGTGGTGGGCCCGGTCTGGGCCGCCTCGCTCGAGAGCGTGTCCCCAGGATGTTGAGCCCTCGGGGTCAGACTTGGATGGAAGATGGATCTGTCGTGGATGGACGGACGGACGGACGGATGGAGGAAGGGCTGGCTGGACGGCACGCCGGCCCTGGCGGCGGGGCCGGGGTGTGGGGCCCGCTCCAGGGATTGGCCGGGAACGGCCGGCGTCCCAGGCGTCGCGGGACCGCCCTCGTGCGTGGGTGGCGGTGTGACCCCGCGCTGGTTTTCCTGGTGGCCCGGCTGTGTCCCGGTGTTTCCTGGTCCCCGGGACGGCGCCCTCGCCCCCGTC